GTTGGGGGGGGGGGGACAGAGAGAAGGGGACAAAGGGAGGAAGCGAGAGGGAAAGAGAAAGAAGGGAGAAAGAAAGAGAGCAAAACACAAAAATTTAAAAGGGCAGAATTAAAAAACCAAAAGTTCTGACAACATTTTTAAACGATTATTTCTATCTGGGTGTGGTGTGCCATGCCTGAAATCCCAGCACTTGGGAAATAGAGGCAGGAGGATCAGAAGTTCAAGTCCTCCTCGGCAATAGATCAAGCTCAAGGTCACCCCAAGCTCCAAAAGACCCTATACCCCCCAAAAGCAAAAACAACAAAAACATACTCCCTCCAATAAAATACAGGCCCAGGTGAGCACGAGGAATAGTTACTCTAAGTGCTAGAGAGGGAGTACATCATCTACATGAAGCCGTGCCAAATGAGGATCTCTGGGCCTTCTTACTCCTAGACCCTCCAGGGACCTACATAGCTGACAGATAAGACTCCAACTCAGTAACTATGGCAAAAGAAGGAAGAGCATTTTAGGGAAGCACTGAGCATTCCTTTTTTTTTTTTTAATTTTATTTATTTTAATTTTTACAAAAACTTTATTAAGAACTTCGTACACGTATATAAGGTGTTTTGATCGAGCATTCCTTTCAAGCAGTGACTAGAACAAACTAAAAAAAACCAAGAAGTAACTGCCCTCCTAGTATCCCCTGGCAAATTATCAGCAGGTGCAAATGACTGCCTCACCATGGCACAAATATCCATGGGAAGGAACACCTTCCTCCTGCTGCCGTGATAGGGCGTTGCTCTCAAGCAAGTGACAATGCCTTGTGCCTTTCCAATGTGGCTTGCAACGTGATCTGCATGAAGATCCTTTACACCTAGAGTAACAGAAACAAACAAGGCTGCTCCATCATCCTTGATGAATAACAAGAGAAACAGGAATCATCTGAACACAGAAGTGGTTGTCTTACATCTGGAAAATGGGATTTAAGAGGAAAACGGGGGCCAGGGAAAAGCTATTTTCCTATTGGCAGGTATCTGAATCTCAATTTGCTATTCATTTTTATTTTTTTATACGTATGAGTGTTTTGTCTGCATGTATGTAAGTGTACCCATACATGCAACACCCCCAGAAGCCAGAAGAGGGTGTCAGATCCCCTAAAACTGGAGTTATGGATGGTTGTTAGACACCATGTGGGTGCTGGGAACAAAACCCAGGTTCTCTGCAAGAGCAGCCCATGCTCTTAACCACTAAGCCCTCTATCCAGTTCCTTGAATCTCAACTTGTTAAAAATAACTTCTCCTCAAACTTTAGCATGGCTATAACACACTGAGACTTTTGATCAGCTATCATGGAAGAACTTTACAAGTCTTCCATTTCTGCCTCCCTGAGTGGTTTCCATACAACCTCATTTCAAGGAGACACTCAACCAGCTCTTTGTCTCTGCTCTGTAATGGCAAGCATGTCAAAAGGTACAGGGCAGTCCTGTGATCTTCAACAGGAACTGTATCATTCTTTGGGGGGTGACATAAAGATATATTTCCTTCTTCACATGAGATGGCATTGTCCTTGGCCCCAATAAATTCCTCATTACAATAAGATGTCACTAACTTGGAGCAAAGTCAGGTGAAAAATACCATCTAAAAAAAATTTTTTAAGAGGAAAAAGAAAAATCTCAAAAATTTTGATAATTGTACTTTCTTTTTTTGACATAGGGAATAATTATCAATAGGTAAAAAACAGTCATGGTACAGACTCTTCAAACTGAAGGAGATGCCATAGTAAAAACTTAATCCTGTCACATTTACCAGATTATTAACTATTCCCATGAAGAACCTAAAGTGCTTTTGTGAGAGTCTGAGTATCCAGAATAGCTTGCACTCCAAAGAAAAAATATAAATATATAGATAGAAATGTTCCCTTTCTTTCTATTAAAAATAAAAGTTGGGCCAGGCATGGTGGCACATGCTTTTAATCCCAGCACACAAGAGGCAGAGGAAAATGGATCTCTGACATTTTCAGGCCAGCCAAGGCTACATGGTGACATCCTGTCTCAAAAAAAAACAATTAAACAGCCAGGTGTGGTAGTACATGCCTTTAATCCTAGCATTCAGAAGGCAGAGGCAGGTGGATCCTGGTGAGATCAAGGCCAGCCTGATCTACCCCCTAAAACAAACAAACAAACAAGTAAATAAAAGTTATAGTTGAGCATGGTAGTGCATGCCTGCAATCCAAGCCAGCACTAAGAAAGCTGAGACAGGAGGACTGCCTCTAGTTTGAGGCCTGCCTGAGTTATACAGTGAAACCCTGTCTCAAAAGAGTGGAAACATAGTTATTACTTCGTGGATAATACAAAGAAAAATTTCAGCACTAAACTGGTTACACTTTCCAAATTAAAAAGTGAAATCTCCTGGTCTACTTAAGGAGTTCCAGGACAGCTAGGGCTACAGAGAAATCCTGTCTCAAAAAAAGACAAAACAAAAAAGTGAAATCTGAAATGTGTTTATTTGTAAAGAGGTATGGAACAGACAACTTACCCAACATCTCTAATGTTAAATACAGAAGACAGCTCTGTGTATTCTCAGCATAGTTTTCAAGTTCCTGGATATTATGATAGGCTTTATCATCCAAATTTTTTTCCTAAAGTTAAAGAAAATACAAATAAAGTTTATTGAATTATTGTTTTACAACGATAAGATGCTAATTTTTGCCTAAAGAAATAAGACTAACATTTAGCAGATTTTTTTTAGTAGATAATAAAGATAAAATAACATTAAAATCTAGCTGAGCACATTAGTATTTGCCTATAATCCTAGCACTTGAGAGGTAGAGGCAGGAGGATCAAGACTTCAAGGTCATCCTTTGCTACACAGTGAATCTGAGATCAGCCTGAACTACTTGAGACCCATGTAGTTTAAGCTGGCCTCAAATTACCTATGTAGCTTAGAATGACCTTGAACTCTTGCCTCCATATGTCAGGTGCTGGGATTATAGGCTTAGACCACAATACCCACAAAAAACAAAACAAAAATATTTTAAAGACTAGAGCTATAGCTAAGTTGGCATAGTGCTTGCCTAGCATACACAAAGCCCTGGGTTCAATCTCCAACACAGCATGAAACTGGACATGGTAGCACATACCTGTGATCCTAGCACTCAAGAGGTAGAAGCAGGAGGATCAGAAGTTCACGGTCATCTCATGTAGCCTGGGCTACATGAGACCCTGTCAGGAAAAAGAAAAAAAAGGCTTTTTGTCTTTTTGAAATAGGGTCTCCTTATAGCCCCAGCTGGCCTGGAACTCACTATGTAGACCAGGCTGGCCTTGAACTCACAGAGATCTGCCTGCCTCTGCCTCCCAAGTGCTGGGGCTACAGGTGTGTGCCACCACACCTGGCTGAAAAAGAAAAATTTTAAAGAATAAATAATGAATGTACAGTTTCATGAAAATGGTATGAGATTAAATATTGGGCCAAGGAGGACACTGACCCCAAAATGCGCCAAAAAGATTACAAAAATGAGGCCAGGTCCCAGAGCAATTAACAGCATAGCTGGGCCAGAACTCAGTCCCAAGAATTTAATACAAGTTTCCATTCACTGGACTTGTCAGTCTTTACTGTCTCCACTATCTGGACACAAGTCTAAGCACTGGGGTGGGCGTAAAGGTGTAGGGTTATGCCTGTATTTAATGATATCAAGGAATTAGTAATTTTTTTTTAATTTTATGTGTATGCGTGTATTGACTGCATGTAGGTAAGTGCACCCGTGACACGCAATGCCGGCGGAGGTCAGTTGTTAGCCATCATGTGGGTGCTGGAATTCGAACCCCAGTCTACTGCAAGAACAACCAGTGTTGTTAACTGCTAAGCCATCTCTCCAGCCCCAAGAATTAGTAATTTTTAAGATATGATACTCAGTCAGGCATGGTGTCACACACCTTTAGTCCTAGCACTTGGGAGGCAGAGGCAGGCAGATCTCTGTGAGTTCAAAGCCATCCTGGTCTACATAGCAAGTTCCAACTGGGGCTACAGGGAGATTCTGTCTCAAAAAGACCAAAAAAAAAAAAAAAAAAAAAAAAGATATGATAATCATATTATGGTTCTGCTCTTTGACAGTCTTTCTTCTTATATTTATTTACCTATCTATTTTTTTATGGTGGTAGGAATTAAACCTAGATTTTTGTACAGCTAAATAAGTACTCTACCACTGTGAGCTACATCCCCAGCCCAGTGTGGACGGGAGTTCCCAGAAAAATCCTGCATCTTGGACTGAACTTCCTGCAAGCCTAACCAATTGATTAGCAGTCAAAGAGACTTGCAGAGTTTGGAAAGTTGCAGATCAAGCCTATTTACAATTTCTCTTGGGTCATTTTTAGCCCCTAAATAGCCACTCTTTACCCATCTGTTTCTGACTTAACATCTTATGACTAACAGATTAAAAAAAAACCTTTAGGAATGTTTTAACTTAATAAAACCCTAACTCCCACCAACCACAAGGCTAAAAATGCCATTAGATAGTATCTGAGTTCTATAGCTGAGATTTCTTCTTTTGCTGTATCTACCTACTCAATGTTCCCATCAATGTATTTGAAAAGTGTCTTGATTTATGGCTTTTCTTTGTTCTGTTACTATAAAAATTTCATGAAACTCCTTCTATACTGGAACATGAAATTTCAGGTAACCTGAATCTGTGTTCCTAGGCCATTGCATGGTCACTCACTCATATTTGGTTCCAGAATAAACAATATTTTATTTATTATCTTAATTTTATATGTATGAGTGTATTGCCTGCATGTATGCAAGTGCACCCATGTCATGCAATGCCTGTGGAGGTCAGAAAAGAGGGCATCTGATCCCCTGGAGCTGGAGTTACTGTTAGCTGCCATGTGGGTGCTATAAGAACAGCCTTTTTTTGGAGACAAGTTTTCACTGTGTAACCCTGGCTGGCCTGGAGTTCACTATGTAGGCCAGGCTGGTCCTGCCCTGCATGGAAAGTCCTTTTAAGTTACTTATGAATTTACAGTTCAAATGATATGACTAGAATATACTTTAAAATGTCTAATAGAGGTTAATGGAAGGAGTTACAATATAGATGAAACTGGTTGAACAGCTGGGAGTGGTGGCTCATGCCTGTAATTCTAGAGTTTCAGAGGCTGAGGCAGAAGGACTGCCACCAGGACTACCTGAGTTGGTAGTGATTTCCAGACCAGTGTTGGCTACAGAGACCCTGTTCAAAATAAATAAATAAATAAACAAATAAAACATATGTGTCCATACACACACACACACACACCCCACACTTCTGCCTAGGTGCTTGTTTCTGCTTATTTGACTCATGGTGGGAAGCAGAGGATAACAGGAGTGGCATGCAGGGATACGGGATGGATAAAAATGACATTGTTTTCCAAGTTTTCTTCCTCCAAAACATTAATACACATATTAAAACATTTCTTCCACAAAAAATTAACCTAAGTGTTTAAAAAGCAAAAAACAAAACGCAAACAAAATCCTGAAGACTTGGACAATTTCAACTTACTCTTTCATCGATGATTTTCATAAGCCATCGTTTAGTCAGATTGTGTCTCTTGACAGCCTAAAAAAACAAAGGTGTTATAAGTTTGTGGATGATACTGGAAATGACTTTTCTAGATATGAATTTAAACTAGATCAACAAATTCAAAGCTAGGTAAAGAGGCATTTGTAGTATGTCACCACTAGACAGGCAGCTGTGTTAAACATGAGGAAAAAGAAGTAGCTCCAGAAAAGCATTTCACAACATTTCCAAGTGAAGATGATATTTCTAACACTTTCCACTGTCTTTCCTCTTGCTGTTCTTACTCATTTAATGATTCCACTTTTAAATAAAAACAAGACCTTCCCTGATTTCTGTGCTTATATCTTCTATTCAAACTTTCTCCCCCAGGAGAAATAACCCACTTTTCTAAAAATGACAAGTAACTAAAACACAGAAGAAAAAAAATCAGAGCATGCATGGGTAATCTCAACATTTGGGAGTTGAGGCAGGAGGATCACTACAAGTTTTATGCAAGTCTGAGTTGTAAAGACCCTATTTTTAAAAAATAACAACAAACACCTGGTATCGTGGCACACTCCTTTAATTTCAGCACTGGGGGTGGGGCGGGGTGGCAACAGAGGCAGCTGTTCTCTAAATTAAAGGCCAGCTTGGTCTACATATCAAGCCCCAGGCCAGTCAGAGCTACATAATGAGACCCTATCTAAAAAATTGGAAAAAAAAAAAAGCACCAATGGACAACGTCCCTTAGTAGAGCACTTGCCTAGCATGTGCAAGGCCCTAGGTTCAATCCCCAGTACCTCAAAAATCAAAAGAACTCTATGTTAGATGGGATGTGGTGGCACACATCTATAATCCCAGCACCTGGGAGGCTAAGGCAAGAGGATTGCCACAAATTGCCTGGGCTACACCGTGAGCACTAAGCCATCCTGGGCTATAGAGTGAGACTGTCTGAAAAAAAAAGTTACATTTACTGATGTTACTAAATGTTCTATATAAGAAACTGTCCCTATTTATTTATTTATTTTATTTATTTAGTGTGAGGCATTTTCTTTTGAGAGAGTCCTTGCTACACAGCCTAAGCTCTGACTCTCAGTCCTTCTGCCATAGTCTCTCAAGCACTAGGATTATGGGCACATGTGCTACCATGCCCAGCTGGAAAACATCCCCATTTTTAGGAAATATTGAAATATTTAGATTAGGGTAATAATGTGTATAACAACTCAAATAGGAAAAAATTATGTGTGTGAATACACACACACACACACACACACACGTATAGTGATGGAGAGAGAGCAAGGGAAAAAAGAGATGAGAGGGAAAGGGAGGCACACAGGCGAAGAATACAAGAGAGGGAAAGAGAAGGCTTGTCAACGATTAAACAGGGCTGGGGGTATGGCTCAGAGGTTGCTCTAGTCTGCTTTCTGTTGCTATGATAAAACACTCTAACCCAAACCAACTTGGAAAGGAAAAGGTTTTGTTGGCTCACACTACAGTCCATCCATGAGGGAAGACAAGGCAGCAACGTAAGGAGGAACCTGAAGCAGAAACCATGGAGGTACACTGCCTGCTGGCTTATGCATACAGCTACCTTTTTTTTCAAAAAATATTTTATTTATTATTTTTGCTGAGTGTGGTGGCACACATCTTTAATCCCAGTACTTGGGAGGCAGAGGCAGGCGGATCTATGTGAGTTCAAAGTCAGCCTGGTCTACACAGTAAGTTCCAGGGCAGCTGGGGCTACAGGGAGACCCTGTTTCAAGAACACACACAAAAAAAGGCCCAAATAGGGGCTGGAGAGATGGCTCAGTGGTTAAGAACACTGGTTGTTCTTGCAGAAGACCCGGGTTTGAATCCCAGCACCCACATGACAGCTAACAACTGTCCGTAACTCCAGTCCCAGGGGATCCGACAGCCT